CCACCCACCCACCCCCTAACCCGCGGGGCCTAAGCTCTCTTATTTCGGTCTACGGTGGTAGATGCTCTTATGGTTGTTCAGGCTGTTCAGAGTCCGGAACACTTTGTGACAGAGGACGCAAACGGCGCTATTGAGCGGCTGGAAGTGCTGCTGCTCTTTGTGCCGCTTGAGCGTCAATTTGGTCGACAAGGTCTTGCCGCACACGTCGCACGTGTAGCAGACCCCTGGAGGCAGCAGCCTGCCGTACAGAGGGTGAGAGAGTCTCATCGCTAGGATGGCCGATGGTACCCCTGACGGTCAGGGTGGTCGTCGGGGTCGTGTAGTCGGGGTTAATCCCGCAGGCCGCATGGGGCGTGATTAATGTCCGGCAAGCAGCAACCAAGCACCGTTAAAAATGCACATGGATGTCCCAATTAATAAGTATATCCGTATTACGAACCAATTGACGGGTGGACAGGCGACACAGATAGAGCCACGTGTGGATGGACCCCCAGCGCAAATCCGTTCGTGAAGGTAGAGGTACACACGGAACAATGACGAACCAGAGCACGTATAGCCGAGCGAGCGGGACCGGGAACAAACAAGAACAAAGATACGGCTGCCATTAATATCGTGTGTGGAGACATCGGTAGCTGGTGGTAGCTCGAAACCAGAAGGGGGTCTCTCGTCTTCTCTCGATCGCATCCCAAATTTCCGCCCTGGCGTCCTTACCCGGCTAGGCGGCCTTACCCTCGGCCTCGGGCGAGGACGAGGCCGAGGACGAGGGTTCCCTCCTTTCCCTGATACGGTCTCTCCTGGTCGGATCAAGTCTCTCCTGGTCGGTCTATGTACGCTCAGACAACAAAGACTCGGGGCTCTGGTTTGTCATTGATCATGGATATCCTACCCGCGACGCCGCGAGGCGTCCTCGCCCCGGTCGGCGGAGCTGGTCCCCCGTTTCCGGCCGAGTCGCGTCCATGGGGTTTTGGACCAGGTTCTGGACCAGGTTCTGGACCAGGTCTTGGACCAGGTTTTGGACCTGGACCGGGATCTGGGAAGGACTGGAGGTCGCCGTTTCGTCCCGGACCCCAGGCGTCGATCTTGACTTTTCGGACGCGCTCTCGGGACGCTTCCCGAGGACGACGTCGCTCGGCTGGCTCGAGGCGAGGGATTGGTCGACGCGTTGGCGGTGTTCAAGTATAAAGGAAACGTTTATTCATAAATAATGAGAACAACTTGCGCGAGTACAATGGAACAAAAAGTTTCTGGTTACCCTGGCCCCCAAAGAACGGATAAACGAGAGATGTGAGGAAGGGATAATTAGTCGTAAAAATATATTATGTCGCAAAACTCAGGTATAAAACGTCCTATGTACAACGCTAGGGTGCATCGGGTGCATCCCTGCCGCAGGGTCCCCGTGGAGGTACGCTTAACAATCGTGGTATCGATTGATCCTAAAAGCGAGCGATCGGCCACGATATCCCGGGATGCCTCCTCCCCCTTTCTCGAGACTTATCGTTTATATTTTTATTCCTTTTTCGAGCCATTTTTTTATACCAAATTTTTTTTTTCCCCTCCGCATCAAAATCGTTCGACGTATCACAATTTCTCCCCCTTCACCCTCGAAATCATCACAGAACGTCCCCGGCACTCGGGTGCAACGTAATTCTCGAACGTCGTCGACGCCGTTTTCGGCTCCTCGTGCCCGATTCTCCTCTTTTTATTCTTTTTTTTTTCACTCTTTCTTCCTTTCCTTCTCATCTCGATTAATTAATTTTAGTCAACGTCGTTCCTCGCGGCCCTCTCTAAAGCAAGCCCGATCGTCCGTCGGTTAAAGAAAGTTCCTCCGCATTTTCTCGCGAGTCGTCCCTCGACTCCCCTCCCCCGTTTCTTCGGGAAACTTCCGAGCCGGGGAAATCAAGTTTCCGGATGTCGCGGTGCCTCGCGAATTCCTCAACATGTTCCGTCAACATTTGAACTGCCTCCCGGGAGGCGGCCAGCTCGAAGTCTCGGAGCTTTTCTAGTTTCGGAACTTGCAGGCCGGAATTAGCGAGTCGCCGACTCGCTTGACTCTTCCGACTTCCGGTCTCGACGAAGAAAAAGTGGGGAGGAAAAATCGAGGACGTTTCCTAGGCTTCTGGACGGCTGCTAAAAAAATCGAGGACCTCGCGAGAAAATCCCGGAATGGCGGAATGTTATTTTCCTTTCCTCCCGTACCGAGACAACGTCGCGAGGGCCGGAAGTCGAAATCATTTTTTAGTCCTTAACCCACGGAGCACTTCCGGCCGAATCGCCAAACGGCGAGTGACTCCCCACCTCGCGACTCACCACCCTAGACTTAATATAGCTCTAATCGATAACGTAACGTGTTTTTATTATTTGTACTAGCGTTGTTCTTAATGAAACCGACGAAGCCCGTGTCAAAGACGAAAGTGAACCCCCCTGCCACCGATCCCGAGACGAAAAGAAAACCGGCGAAGCCTAGCTCGACCAACGATTATTTACAAGTGGCGTAACATGGAAGGGTCTCGATCCCAGATATATATATCAACAAATTGAACTTCTATACAATCAGGACGCTCCAGTAGTAGGGTATAACGCGACCAGCACCGTGCGCTCCCCGGGTGAGAGAGTCGGAAGGAAAGAACGGGCCCCGAAGCTCCCCTCCCAAAGGCTCGATCCTTAATTTCCCCTCTTTCCTCCCCTGAGAGAAAAAAACGAGGACCCCGAAACCAGCAGCCGGTCCCTTCACCGGGACCCACTTCGCAAACGGTCCCAGAAGCGATCCAGTCTCAAGGTGGACCAGGTGAGAACGGAAGCTATCCGGACGAGATATCCTGGGAGAGCCCAAGGACACCCGAGACGTCCTCCCGGACCGTGTAAAAACTGAGGAACCTGGCAAAGGTGTCGACGATTGACCAACGTAAGGTCGATCAACCCGGGGCCCTCCTGCGCAGCTTCCGGTTCCCCCCAGTGGAGACTCTTCCCCAGTCCGACGAAAACTCCCCGGCAGGTGAATACGAGAGGACTTGGTCGCGGGGTACCGGAAATACCGGGAACATCTCGATATCCCGGCGATCAAGGGGTACCCGGGACACCCCACCAGCTTCGGCGTCTTTTTCTCTCAGTGGGACCTCCACCCGCGAGTATCGGCGCCATCTTGCTTAAGACACAGCGTGCAGAACCAAGATGGCGTCGGGGCACGCGCGTCGCCTCCCTCTCGCTCATCCAAGGTGGGGCTGCTGCTGGTGGCACTGCTGCTGCAGCTGCTGCTGCTGACCCTGCTGCAGTAGCTGCTGCTGCTGCAGCCGGCCGAGGTGGCCCCTCTCTCGTTCTCTCTGTTCCTCCTGCTTGCGCTGCTGCTCGTTCTTGGCGTGCTGCCGGTGGTAGATGCTCTTGTGGTTCCTCAGGCTGTTAAGGCTGGAGTAAACCCGCTTGCAGATGGTACAGATCGGTTCCTTGCTGGGCCTGGTGTGCACGTTCTGTATGTGCCGCTTCAACCTTGTAAGGGAGGTCAGGTTTTTGTTGCAGGGCTCGCATCGAAACTCATCGGTCGCGCTGCTGCCGGCCAACAGACCTGGCGGCAGAACCAGACACATGGTTACGGTTTTTGACGTTCGAACGCTGAGCAGGTGTTTCGTTCGATTTTTTTTTTTGTTTTTTTTTTCGTGGGTCATGTCGCTTAGCATTTTTTGTCTTTTGCGCTTCCTACTCCTCCCGGAACTCCGCCCTCCGGTGGGACTCTCGTTCTCTCTCGGCCATTTTTTATATGTATATATTTTGTTAACCTCCGGTGGACCTTCGGACTTTTCGTGCTCGCTCGTCTGTTTTTCCGGGCTTCGTGTATACTGTATATGTATATATATATTTTTTTTTGGTTTTTCGTTTGGTCTCTACACATAGTTTCCGTCTCGCGAGACGTCGGTTGCGAGGCGGACTCCGGGGGCCTCCACGTGGCGAGGGGCGCTCTACGCCACGCTAGGGCGTCGCCCTCTGATCAGCCCTCTTGCGTGTTTTCGATCTATGCTTTTTTTTTTTTCCCGTCTCTCGGGCCTTTTCTGTCCTTTCTCGTCCCGGCACTTCCTCCGATAACACCGCCACCTCGCGAGCAAGCCGTGCACCGATACTCGGGCGTTTAGATGCGGCCCCCTTTCGCTTTCCGTTCGCCCGCGGACAAGGTGGACGCGCTTTCGGAAGAGCCTGACCCAGCGCGAGCGGTCTCTCGGCTCTAGGTCTAAATCCGTCGACTCGGCCACCTGGCTGCCTAGGTAAAGGCGAACTAGGTTCGCGGGCCGGCCGAGGGGAGCGCCCCACGAGCTTCCCTCCCCGGCCCACGGATGGCGCTGCGAGTTAGTGCGCCGCTCGGCCGGTCGGGCTCTTCCGAAGTGTTTAGTTGCTCCTGCGGTAGAGGGTCGGCAATATATATATATTACATACATATAGTGGTGTACCATGGCAACCCCGGGTCGGATTTAGGTGAATAGTAGAGTGCAAGCAAATCCAAGATATTCCAGGTACCAATTGAGAGGCCGATGACGTTATTAGTGGTCAGAGCACCGGATGGTTCCATGGTGATGCGTATTATTTACAGCAGAGCGGAGGACGTGTCCTCGCGATAGTATATACATGTATATGTATATGTATATATATAAGTATATGTACACGTGTCCGATGTCTATTTACAGGTTATGATTCATATCAATGGGCTGATGCGATGAAGCGGTGAAGGTCTTTCTTTCCTGGCGGCCATGTTGGCGTCTACGCGTCTCCGGAGAGTCCCGTCGCCCCTCGGCGCCGTTTCGCCGACTCCGAGGCGGCCCCACGGATCCTACTTCTCCCCGGACCTTGAATCTTCGCGAGGTGGGAGCCAGGAAAGGGGGACGAGTGGTCGCAAAATCCCGAAGACGGGGGCTCGTCGCGGGGACGCGAGACAAGGGGACGCGCGACTCGAGGCGCGACATTTAACTGGCCGATTCCTCACGGAGTTTCCTTTTTATTCGTGCGTCTAACATGTACAAGTTACACTGGTGGGTTGGCTAATTACGTGCTCCTACATTAACGCAATACATGTAATAATTTATTACTCTATCCGGCGTGTCGGCCGGGCCGGTTACATAAATAATCTCACTTTTTTTTCCTCCGTTAGCCGCGCGGAGCGTAATAAGAGAACCGGCGAAGACCCTCAACCCCGAGGTCGGGCCTCGGGTCCGGGAGTCGGAGGCACCGACACCTGCCCCGGGACTTTCTCTTCGGGTTTGCGGCTTTAAAGGGCCCTCTCGTTCCCCGTTCCCCGTTCCCCGTTCCCCGTGCCCAAGGCTCGAGTCCCTTAGGCCCAAAACGGGCCGACCCGAGGACGCCACCGGGAACGTTTCCAGGGATTTTCTCATCCGGTCGACTCGTGACAAACGGGCCGGGAGTCGAGATCGAACCCCAGGTTGGGCCCCTGAAGGGTGTCGAGGGAAATGACCCTCCGCGACCCGCAGGATCGACCGGGGACCGACGTCCCTATCCGCGGGGGTCCTTGGGTCTAGCTTCATGAGAACGTGATCTCGAACTGGGTCTCCTGCTCCTTCCTGTCCTTCCTGCCGTGGTACTGACTCTTGTGGCTGACCAGGCTGTTCCTGGACTTGTAACTCCTACCGCACTGGTCGCAGGCCAGGGACTGAGGCACGTAGAAGTGCGTGTCCGCCAGGTGCCTCTGGAGGGACCAGGCCCTGGAGAAGGTCTTCTGGCAGAAGCTGCAGTACGTGGCACTGCTGCCTCTGTGACCGGCGCCCATGTCGGGGTCCACCTGCCTCCTGGCCACCTCCTGGAGATTGGGCAGGGGTCGCTGGGCATCCTGGGAGGCGCTGCTGGACTCTGCCGAGGTCGCCTCCGGTCCCGGTGGGCGTTTTCCTCGGTATTTCCTCTGCGTGGCCGCCAGTCTCCTCTCGACCACGTACTCCGACTCCTCCGCCAGTTGGGACTCCAGCTCGTCGACGATGTCCAGCTTCGGCGACAGGGGCTCCGACTTGAGGACGATCTGCATGCCGTCGCCGATGTCGTCCAGCAGGTCGATTATCGGGAGCTCCTGGTGGAGCAGCTCGCAATTCGGCTTCTGGTCCTCGGCGTCGTCCATGGGCTGACTAGGTGGACTTCGGTCCGTCATGGCGGTCTGACTCTGGTGGTCCTCGTTCCTCGTATCGGACTGCCAACCCCCGTCCTCCTCTGCGACCTCCTGGTCTGCAACCAAAGAGGAGGGGGCTGAGTCCGGGTACTCAAGGGCTGCCGACCAGCCGCTGGGGGTTTCGACCTCGACCTGCGAAACTAGCGCTCTCTCGGCGCTTCCGTTCTCTCGCCTCCTGTCCACGTGCTGGGCAAGTCCTCCCGCGCTGCGCGCTCCTGCGCCATAACCGCCCTTTAAGGTGGACAAACCGGTGGGAAATCAATGCGACGGGGTGCGGACCACCCACCGTCGCATCCGCGGTGTCTAGATTCCGTCTCCTCGTGGGTAACCTCTTCCACGACCGAGCGCGTCCTGGGGACGCCGGCGAGAAGGGCAAACCGCGCGGTGAAAAGTGTCGCATCTTCCGCGGTACCGAGAGACGATGGGATGTCGATACAGCGGAGCCGTTCCTAGCCAGCCGAGTCGGTTCTTTGCGGGATTTTACCCGGCCGGTTACCTAGGCAACGCACCCCGCTAAAGCCACCCCCTGGCAAGGGGGATACCTAGGATGCGTATTATTCTTAATAACCCCACCATGGCTCTGTATTATGACTGATGTTGACTCTGAGCGAGCTGCCGGGCGTTCCGCGATCAATAGGCCAACTCGCCGAGGGAAAAATATCAGTGCCTTCGGGGTTGGTCGCGCCGGCCTTAAAGTACCCCGTAGTCCTGGATACGAGGTCCCGGCGACGCTCCTGCAACCCCTTCGCCGAGCAGGGCCACCCCGACGGTGGTCGCCGATGGGGTTGCCAGGGCGGTTTACAAGGGGAGGTCCCCGTGCCAGGATCAAAATCCCGGTCAGGTCTGGCCGTATCGAGCTGCCGTTTTTATCCCCTTATGGGGCGGGCTCGCTGGCAAAGCTTTATGGCGGTAAGGACGGGTCCGTCTGGGATATGGATTGGTCGTGTGCCGGGCTCAGCGGAATAGGCAGTTTCGGCCATGTCGGGGATCCCCGCGCCGTTTTCACCCTCCTCGGCCTGGCGGAGGGCTTTGCCGGAATCGCGGAGGCCGGGACCTCGGGATTCATCCCAATTCCTTTTCTTTTCCTTTCTCTCTTTCCGTTCCTCGCCGAATTTCGTTTAGGTCCTCCCCGAACGAAGCGAGGGTCCACTTGTTGCGAGACCAGGCCTCTCGGCACGCGACGTGCACTCTCTTGCACCTCCGTTGCGCAGTTGGCGAGGTCACCTCAAGTTCATCATTGATAAAGTGACGTCGGCGAAAAAACAAGCGACTAGACCTGGACGCACCGCGATAAGCGAGTTTGCGCATTAGAGATAATACTTTCCGCCGAATGTCGTTGCGATGCGTGCTGACCTTGGAATGGTCGCCGGGTGGAAGCGCGCGGCGCGGCGAAATGGAGGAAAAATCGGAGAAGAGAGAGAGAGAGGGTTTGGCCTCGCCGGAAGGGAGCGACGAGGAAGGAGCGATGCCTAGGCCGCGCGGAAGAGAGAGACGAGAGTACCCCCGCGAGTCCGCTTTGGCGACGAGGTTCGCCGCGGCGCCGTGGGATGGCGCTGGCCGCGCCGAAAGTGGAAAGTCGAACCCGCCGGCTCGACGAAAATTTCGCCAATTTTTTTCCCCGGGAGCGAAGATTATCCCCGGAGGTCGACGTGGGGTGCTATCGGCGATTTCCCTCGGCTCCGTTTCCTCGAGCCGGAATTCGGCGAGGAAGAGGAGGGGGGCTGCAGGGGAGGGATATATTTAAAAGAAGCGAGGAGGAGGAAGAGGCGCATCGGAAGCGGCTCGCCCGATGCAGCGCAGAAAGTAGTTCGCTCGCCGCGCTATTTTTACGCCGCGAGCTTACAACAGGTTACTCGCGAGGAGAGAGAAAGACCGACCGAGAGGCCGCGAGGCGGGGGGAAAGAGAAAGAGAGAGAGAGAGAGCGGAGAAAGGGGAAACCCGAAGAAAAAGGAAGGGAAGCCGCGAGTCCACCGACGCCATGGGGTCCGGACCTGCGCGCGTCCGACTCTGCAAAACAATCTCGGATGCAAAACACGCTAAAAATATGCATATCCTTCGGCGAGAGGCCGTCCCTCGCTTTCCCGTCCTCTCCCGGGACCGCAGGAATCCCCCATTTTGGAAAAGTCCTGCCGAAGAGGAAGGCCCCAAACGCGTGGAAAAGTGGACCGATGGAGAAGAAACTCTTTTCGGGTTTTCTTCAAAAACTACTCGAATCGCCGGAAGGAAGGAACCCTTAAACGGACATCTGTCTAGATGTATTTCTTTTCTTTCTCCTTTTTCCACCAGGTGAACGCGAAAGGCCGACACGCCGAAGAAAGATGGCGGCGCGCCTCGGCGCGGAGAGACGCTCCTCGAAAAGCGATTTTCGGGGTAGGGCCACGTTTGGAACCCCGCTTTCGGAACTCGTAACGAGAGAAGAAGAGGACGGAGGAGAGAAGAGGAATAAAGAAGGAGGGCACGAAACGACGAGAAGGGGCAATCCTAGCGGGCTAAACCTAGCGAACAAAGCGGCGCACATCCGGCCGAGGTCTGGCATAACGAGTGCGCGTTCCGTCTTTCGGTCATTATTTTTTACATAACGACATTACGCGCTAAGGGCGATAAATGCCCCAGGGGGGGGAGGACGCCGGACCTAATTGGAGCGAAAGAATGGACGGGACATTTATTTACGTCGAGATAACGACGAAAGTTTATCGCCGTGGAAGAGTCGGGAGCGCCCCCGCTCTCTTCCCGGACTCTCCCGAATGTCCCATTCGATCGGCCCTTCCTTTTATTCCCTGTCCGACTGAATTTCACCTCGCCCCCCGATCCCCCGTCGACGCGATTACGCGATAATAATTATTTTCTATTTAACGAACAACGAGCTCCTCGAGGCGCCCCCCGGGACCGCCTCGCGGCGAAGTCCTCGCAGTTTGGCCGACCTCGAGGTGCCTCGATATCTCGATTCCTCCGTTTCCGGGTTTCCCTCGGAACCCTTCCTTTCCTCCGCCATCGGCAATACCGGTCGGCCATGTTGGGGAACAAGGCCGGCTTATTTTTAGTCCGGCCATTTTCGTTGGCCACGACTCACCGGACTGATAGAGGGACCTTGAATTTCGCGAATAACATCTGTTTCCTTATCGACATGGCCCCCCGATAACTTGTTCAGTCCTAACCTAGCATAAGCCAGGCGTTCAAATATATGAGGGGGGGGGGGGGAAGAGGGGGAATTTGCTCGCAGAGAGTCGCACCTGAATTTGATCAGCATCTGCTCGTCGAGCCCGCGATTGGCTGACTCGGGTTTGACTTGGGGATTTGCAATTCCGGCCAAGGCTCTACCTAGGCGAGAACGATGATCCCTATTATCCGGGAATTTAGCGACGTCCAGGAATCCCGAAACCCCCACCCACTCGGGTGGGACCCCGAAACCGACCCCGGCACCCTGTTCCCAATGAACCCCCCGGAGTAAGTCTCTTTCTTCGCCTCTTCGAGGCCTTAGGAGAGGACCTCCCGGCACGAGTGCTCCTCTCGTTACCCCGGCTAGTTCTAAGTAAAAGTCCGAGCGAAAGCTCCCACCCGGTATACGTCGAGAGTCCGCCGATAAGGTAGAATTAGACGGATCCTCGGCTCGCGGTTTCGCAAACGGTTCGACAAGAGGAGGAAGATACGCGGGGCGATTCTCTATCAACGCAAACAACTGTTACCGCCGGTCGGAATTCTAAAAGTGATTTTTCTCCCCCCCCTTCCCCCCCCCCCGCCGACCTAGAATGCCGGATCCGTTGCTACCCACCGGCGCCATTTTCCTTTTCCTTTTCCTTTACTTGGCCGCGCTAACGCGGATACGTACGCCCGGGGATTTCGGGGTTGAAAAAAGCCCGCGACCAAGGGGCCGGGCCACGCGGGGGGGAAAAGGAAAGTTACGGGCCTCTTCGCCGATGAATGGTCGCATTCAAAACGGCCGTGCGGACCGAGTTAAGATATGCGAATACGCGGATGTACGAGCCGAGATAAGGGCGGGCCGCTCCGAAGGGGCCCGGGGAAATAAAATTATGCTCCGCGTTACAATGTCGTCCCGGCGTGGAGTCGCGACACGCACATCGACGCCCGACGATGCACCTATGCGACCCCGGAGTTATATAAAAAGGACGGAAACGGGATTATCCGACGCCACCGATTCCTCCCTACGTGTCCCGTTCCGGGAGAGGTGGGAAGAAAGTCTTCTCCTTTCGAATCCCCCACCCGGAACAATATTCACGAGGATCCAGGAAGTCCTGGGCGCTCCTCGGGATTTTTATCCAGGATCTCTCATCGACGTTCCAAGGAAAGGGAGGGGTTCGCCCGGAAAATTCTGAAAAATCACCCCCATAGATCCCAAACCCGGTCTGCTCGCCACTCTTCTCTTTCGCTGTTCTAATGCACCCGAGGCTGGTCGCGATAGTGCAATATTATTGTTATACGGGTCAAGTAACAATAAACCAATGCAGAAGGCGATAACCGGCCGTCCTATCGTATCCTCTTCAGCTCTCGAAACAAATACGTTTCGGAGTTTCATAATAAAGCAGCTTACGACTAAAGTCCGCTATGGGAGCTTAGCGAGGCTGCGCTTTCGGTGCAACGTTTCCCCAGCTTGGGGTTGCAGGGGTGCCAACGCCCAGAAATTCCCTGGTCTTCTCCTGGAGTCGATCGAGGATGGCTCGAGTGTTTTATCACGGGTACGATTCCGGGATCTCGAAATCGGGGGGGGGGAGGGGGAATCGACAGAACCCGGAGCAACGCGCCCGACTCAGCAATTTCATATGCACATATTCGCCCCCCCCCCTGATAATGGCAATGGTGATCGATATAGTCGATTTATAGTCATGATCCAAATTCTGGAGGAAAAAAGGGACCCTCGCCCCCTGGGGGGTCGCCGAGTACAAAAGTCACGTGGAACCCTCGATCAGCTGATCGGGTAAACAAAAGTCAGTCCCTCCCCCCAAAGATCCAGCAACCCTTCCAGAGTCCCACGTCCCTCCCCCTCTTCTCCCTCGTCTTCGCCCTCCTTCGAAAAAGGTCCTCGCGAACGAGAATTTCATAATTTCCCGATGTCACGGACTTTTCCTCGAGTTGCGGCGAGGTACCGCACCGTAATCACGACCCGGTCTAATTTCGCATATAGACAACGTACAAATTCATCCCCTCCCTAGAGGGATACATTTTCCCTCCAGGGTGAAAAATCACTAGAGGGCGCGAAATTCGAGATGATGGCAGGAGCTAGCAAGAGTGAGAGAGAGAGAAAGAGGAATACAGAATACAGGGAACACAGAGACGTGAGGAGTTTCCTTCGGTAACGAGCCAGACCCATTCACCGTGTCACCTTTTCGCCGGCGAAGAATTAAGGGGAGAAGGAGGAAAAGAAAAATCCTAAAACATTCCGGAAAAACCGTCCAAATCGGGAAAACTCGCGGGCGGTTCCGCGCGGAGAGCGTGAGCGACAGAGCGAAAGAGAGAAAGAGCCAGAGAGAGAGGAAGAAAAAAAGATCAAGAGACAACGTGCCAGTGCAAGCGAATTCGATGGCGCGATTTGGATGTATGATGATTCCGATGATCCGGGCGGAGGGGTGGTCGGTGGGTGGGGGGTTGGGGGTTGGGGGAAAAAAATCGAATAGAGGAAAAAAAAAAGAAAATTCGCATGCCAATTAAAGACGCGCGTCTCGGACCTTCCAAAGCAAGACAGGGGTAGTGCTCGTTTCGACCTCAACCAATCGGAGAAAATCGTCGCCCTTCTCGCGTTTTCATATACTTCTCATATACATATATATGCATGTAGTGCGTGCGTCTATACGTAGACACGTGGAGAGATGCGAGCACACGGACATAGCCGTATGTCGGGCAGTTGCGTTCCTTTCGCTATACTGTATGTACATTTTCATTTTTTTTTGGTTTCGCTGTATTTTTTTTTTTTCGTGTCGTTTTTTCGTATCGTATTTTTTTTTTTCCTCGGTTTTCCTCTTTCCACGCAGCACACGCTTTTTGGATAGTTCGACCGCACCACTCGGGGCGACGCCGTCGAGCTGGCCGAGTCGGTGCATCCTATGCACCGATGCACCGCGTCGACGCGTCGACGCGACGACGCGACGACGCGACGACGCGACGACGCGACGACGCGCCGGCTCGGCCGCTTGTCCAACAGAGAGAGAGAGTAGCGTAGAGCGCCCTTGGGAAAATCAGAAGAACGACGGGAGCGACTGGTCCAGATCTATCGGCGATCCAGCGATCCGATCGATCGATCAACGCCGGAGAGAGACGCACGATTCGAGAGGAGAGACTCGCTCGATCGGAGAGCCGCGACTACTCCACGATTCTTGTGATTTTACAGGGCCAGAGGTCACGGAATATATATATATATGCATATATATGTGTGTGTATATATATTTAAATGCAGGGCTCAGTTCTCCTTACCTTGCGACGTGCCCGCCAGGTCCGGTGTCTGCAGTCCATGGCCAAGACCTGGAAATTTCACTATCGTTACGCGTCACAATCGAGGCGCCGAGATAACCAGAGCTCGCGACCGACGCGGCCTGTACGCACTTTCTCCACCCCGAGGAGAGAACCGGGGAAATATTTCCTTAATTCGATGGAATAATTATTTCCCCTCGAATCGACTGAAATTAATCGGATGCGGCAATTAGTCCGATTTCACTTGAGCCCGATGAACATTCCTCGATACCGTAGAAAAATCAAATATCTCCTTCAAGGGATTTTTTTTTCTCACCGAGTCGTCTCCTACTTCGGGACTTCTCGTCAATGAGAAAAAGGAGAGAATTTGAAAATTGACGAAAAAAAAAAAAAAATATATATAATCCAAACCGTTGCGTACAGGCCAGAGCGGGGTCGAGAAGGATGGAGGACTCACCCGAGAGAGGCGTGTGGTCGGTGGCCAGGGCCGCCATGCTGAAGTTGAAGCTGCCGGGGGTGGAGCCGAAGAGCTTGCTCTCGGGGAGGAAGTTGGAGGTCGGAGGGTGTTCGGGCTCGGGTTCGTGCTCGTTGCTGCTGGCGGAGGCGGGGGGCTTGTCGGAGGCGGCCGCCCCCGAGTCGGAGGAGTCCTCGTTGGGGCCCCCGTTGCCCCCGTTGCCCCCGGTCAGCTCGAGCGGCTCCGTCTTGATGGTCTCGTCCAGCTGGATGGGGTCCTCGGCGACGCCGTTCCCCTCGACCTTGGCCAGGTGGTTGTTCTTCACCATCGAGAAGTCGGTCGGGGTGGCGTCGTTGTTGTTGAGGGGTGGCGAGGGCCACCTGGGTCGCTTGACCGACTCCTCGTGGATGTCCGGGGTGCGCCTCTCGTTCCTGCGGATCTGCGCCCTCCTCAGCAGCTGCTGGACCGTCGTCGGCATGGGCGTCGCCGGCGTCGGGGGCGACCCGCCCCGGGGGAACCTCTCCTCCGAGCCCAGCTTCTCCTGCGCCCCCAAGTGGTTCCCGCCCGCCGCCAATGCGCGCACGTGGGACAACTGCGCAACCCCGACAGACAACATCCCTGCGTTACATCCCCCGACCAGGAACCACCCCCTGTACGGTGCGGGACGCGAGGGTCTCTCCGCGGAAAAAAAAAATATATAAAAAAATAGGAAAAACTATCTCCCCCCCCCCGACACGCCAAGGAATGTCATTCGCGTCCCGCGATGTCCCCTCCCCAACTGATATCCTACTTTTATCGCGCGTCCATTTCGATTATCGACTCGCGGAATGGCGAGACTCTCGAGGCGCCCATCGCCCCGCGTCCCCGTACATAAATCGGCGGGCCCGAATTAGCATCCGCAGAGTTCAAGCTCGTTTTCGTTAGGCCCGACCCATGTCGGCGGGACGGATTATCATTGTTTGCTTGACCTATGCCAATCGCGAGGAGAAATTTAATCGCGATGGAGGACTGCAGCCCGCGATAACGGAAATTTCGGCGTGCAGTTGCGCCGCCGGTCGATAAGGGGGAGACTCGCGATAACGTGGACATCGGCCAACTACGACGGGGACTTCGAACCTGCCGAGCGCGAAACCGGGCCCCCCCGATATCGATCCTCGTTTGGGCCTTAAGGCCGACTCGGATCCGAGGATCGGCCTTAAGGCCGGCTTCGATCTTTCTACCGGACCCCGTTCCTGTTACCTCATCCCTGTCCTTCTGGTCGGCCTGCTGCGTCAGTCCGGATACCCTGAGGACCTCGGCGGTCTTCAGGAAGCTGCTGAGGGACCGCTGGTGGACGTTGACCTCGCCATGGTAGATGAACTCTACCAGGGCGTGCAAGTCGCTGAACGCCACATCCTGGAGTACTATCACCGGGTGTTTGCACGGTGTACTCTGCAATGGAAAAAAAAGGCCAGTTTACGCGTCGCCCTCCTCCTTGGACCCTGAAGAAGGGCCTCTTCTTCCCAGTGGAGGGTGGGATAGTCGGGTCTCAGGGTGGATGCGAACCTTGAGCAGCTCCCGGAAGTAGGGGCTGCACGCCGAGAGTACCACTCGATGTGCTTTGAGGCTCTTGCCATCGCAGGCCAGAGTGACGTCCACGAAGTCCTCGTCATCTCGCAGGTTCTCAAAGGCTGACGTTATGCTGCTCTGGTAGTTGTTCCATCGCAGGCAAAAGTGTTGCGTATCTACCATCGTTATGTCTGTTCACCTGGAAAGGGACAACGGTAGGGCGGGTCAGTTTACCTGTGAATCTCTCGCTTATCCGTAGAATTTTCGTATTTCCGTCGAACCTGGGCTACCCCCCCGTATATAAATTATTATTTCCTGCCCCTTATATTTCCTAAATCCCGAAATCCCGTTTTCACCGCGAAGGACGATTAGAAATTAATAAAATTCCCGGAACTCGCAATTTTCTTTTTTTTTTTTTTTTTTCGGCAAGCTGACGACCAACTAGTGCTAGAGGACTGCAAATCTCTTGCGGTCGACGAGCGAGGCGAAGGTTGCTAAAAATAATTTCACTTCGGCTCAATTTCTCTAGGCCCGTGACGAGTCCTGATAAGTCCGCCAGCCGCTGATAAAGCCCGATAAAGCGGGCTTCGAAAAAGAGACGCTCTGCAGCGTATAAAAATTGCACGCCTCTAGGAAATATTATTTCGCCGTCGACTTCGGTGAGATTCCTGGTGAAATCGATCGATCCCGACTCGATTTCAAGAGATACTTGCAACAACCTACAGGGCGATTAAAAAACACGGTCAATTGAAAAAAAAAAAAAAAGAAAACCCTCCCTTCATAAAAATTCTAAATGCCAAACCTAACTGAAAATAATTTTCCAAGGAATCTCCTCTCCGCAATTTTTTTTTCTTCTTTTGCAATTACTGCGCACACCGGGGACGGGTAATAAAAAAGAAAAAAAAGAAAGGAGAAAAGAAATAAATCTGGCGATCTCGGCACGTTCCGGGGTGATGATTCGCGGGAAAAATCTCGGCGAAGATACGCGAAAGATTGATTTAGCACGACATTGGATTCAATTTCCCTGATGGCGAATTTCTGGGACGAGGGTGGGGGGCGAGGGGGGAACGCGGCCGTATTTCTGCCGAATATCCATCTTTAGTGGAAACGTACGTGACGCTAATATTAAACAGAGATAATTCGAGGCATCGCATCTGCATATATTCGCCATGTTAGGACAGATGTTCGCCGTCTATGTGCGGCGTCTTGAAAATTACCGACGACACGGAAGGATCGATCGGGGGACAGCAATTTGCACTCCGAGAATTAGTCCGACACTTCTGGGAGGATTCGGGGATAGGTAATGATCGATCACCGGAAATTAGAAGGCACCGGGAGGTCCGCCCGCCGACAATGGCACGTGCACTTGGCGAGCCGCCATCTTGGTCCCGTCGGTTTCTTCGCCGATTGAATTTTCCCCTCCTAAATCGGACCTCCGATCACCTCGCGATGGAATATTAGAGACTAACCGAAGGTAGCGAATCCCGTCCTCGTTTTCGGCCAGCCACAACACAGCGGGTCAACGCGCAACAACGTCTGGAGATGGAATGACGGTTTCCACGACGCGTCGATCCCAAACACAAGAGGGCTACTGCGAAGGACGCCGTACGGCCCGAACTGCGCCGTTAGAAAAACTGCGGAGAAATGCGAGACCGGCATAGAAAAAAGGAAACAAAAAAGAATCTCGACGAACGGTCTGCTACGTCCATTCTTCTGCGGCCTATACAAAGTAATCGACGAAAGGACCACTGCATAAAATTACCCGCCTGTGTAATTTGTGCATGGGTATAGTTTTTTATCCATCAATGTATAAAGGTATAAAAATACCGATATACCAACATATATATATTTTTTTTAAATTTATTTCCCATCGTTCGTCCTCCCGATCTCCCCTCCTTGTATGAAATTCTTTTCCATCTACCTCGGCGGTCCTTCTCGCTAAAAAAAACCGGGTTTACCAATTTTTGGATACGCAAAGAGAAATGGTAGAAAGAAAAAAAAACGACGTCCGGCCTCCCAGGTGCCGCTAGAGCGGGATTTATCTGATACTCTCGAATGTCGGAACTTATCGGGCGGCAAACGTGACGGGGCCTCGACGGAGAGTGAAATTACTCCACATCGGCGTGCAACAATCGAGGAAGAATTGAGTTATGCGTTATACTATCTGCCCCGCACGTAAACGACACCAGGTTTTGTTTGATTGCGCGAATATACGTCGCAAATGCCGGAGGTCTTCCAGGAAGGAGAGGCCTTGGTCGGGAAGCAGTCCGTTCAAGGAAACCGAGGCTTAGGGCGAGGATAAGTCGAAAAAGGGAGAATTTTGGGAGTCTCAAGAGGAAGCCGTCTCTGGTCGGGGTCGACCCTAAAAATTCCCGATATTTCTCCTAGACGAAAGGGACGAGCAGGGGTGCGTCGCCAGGAACGCGGGGGCGGAAACGGACCTTCTGGCGAAAATCGGTCGCCTTCGGCTGGTTTTCGAGACCGAGCTCTGGCAAAAGTGCAAGAGTCTCGGGACGATTGTGTGTGCACGCCGAGTTTGATTAACGACGGGCCTACGGGATGCGCCGAGCTAAAAACTGCATCCGCGCCGGCTTCTTTTTATCCCGGAGGGCGAGGAAATTAGGTCGTCGGGCTGGAGCGGAGCCAGAGCTCGCGATTAAATAATTCCCCGTTTATATAAAAGTGCAGGCGTCAAACGTACACTGATAGCGTTATCAGGAGGCCGCGATAAAAAAAAAAGAGAAAGAGGAACGGCGATTCTTAAAACAAATTTACCAGGCCAGACGCTCCGCCGAGCGTCGGCCCGCGCTAGTTCGAGCGGGGGAGAAATTGCAAGAAAAAATGGAGAAACGACCGAAAGGGTTGGCCAAATCGGCCGGTCGGCCACCTACTTCTCCGGGGGTCCATTCAACCGACTTCCAAGGCACTTTCTTCCGGGCGACTCGACCACCGGGTCCGTCCAGGAAGGTCTCACACTCGAGGCGCGATCATCCCCTCGAAGGGCGCATCGTCGATCCGGACCCAGGGTCCGTGGTCGATGCCGAAACTCGCCCAACACGGTGGAAGCCCGTTGACGAAAAGACCATGCCCGTGGACGCCCGGACCCGCGACTCCCGGGGGAACCCCTTCCCAAGTCCGACTTAGCTCGGGAGGGCTTCGACCTCCTGGCCGAGAGGTCGACGCCGAAGGCTCGTACACCTCGAACACCTCCTCGGATGCGTTAAAATGTCCCACAGATTTCGGCGAGCACCGCCACCATCGGCCTCGGCTTCTGGATCAGCTGCCCTGGCAGAGACGTCCCGCCACCCTGGGCATGGTCCCGGATCCCGAATTCGCTCCCTTCCGGCTGGATCGCGCCCAACGCGGGACGGTGCGTCTCGTCCTCAGCCGCCACCGCGGGGAAACTAACCCCTAAAACGCCGGGGCTACGCCGTGGATGCTCCGGGTGGCTAGTACGCAAGTGTGACCGAAATCGTGGCGTGCCGCGCGCAGGCAGGGGCAGAGGGGAGTCCCCGGTGTGTGGGTCCGGAATGTGTGTCCCGACGCGTGCCTCGATGTGTGCCTTTTCGGACCGGGGGTGTCGATCCTCGAGTGGAAGGGAGGCCGCCGGCCTTTGTGGACGTCGCGAAGAGACGCGGAAGACGCGCGCAAGGGACACCCCGAGAAATTCGTCAAGATTTCGGAAATTCTACCTCGACTTTTCGTTCCTTCCCGACCGGAGTAGCGACGGGATTGAGACTTCCAGGTCGAAACGGTCGAGGAGGGACTTCGGGAGAAGGGGCTCAGGGCAAGGGACGGGGTCCCGAGGATTGTCCGCGGGCAGGTAGGAGCGAGCACCTGGCAGGGGTCCCGCGGGAACGGTCCTGGATCCAGGGCCAACGTCTCCCGAAACCAACTTACGGGCCCGAGGACGAGCCAGGAACGCATGCAAATCTCCTGCGTCCCCCCGTGTGCGTGGCGCATGCGTGGACGTCCGTCACGGGACGCGGAATGGCCGCGGAGGGGATAAATCGGAGCAAGTTGGACCGAGAGTTATGCGAGGACGAGGCGCGCGGAGAAAAATCCGAGCCCCTCGTGTCGGACAACCGGAAATAAAATTCTCAGGCCCGCGCCCCTAGAAATGATATTCCAGGCGAAACATAAAACTCGCGAAATTCAATGATCCAATTAAAAAATCAAGAATTCCGCCATGCCCCCCGCATTCGTTCCTGGACGTTCCCCGATCACGCATCCCATCCTCGGTGCCCCTTAAATCGGCACCCCCTTGATCCCTCCCAGCAACGTGGCCATCCCGAAACCCTCGCGATATTTCCGTGCCCCGTCCGCAGGGGGTCGATCCGCGTGAAAAAAAAAAAAAAATAAATAAAAAATCCCAAGCGACGTAGGGCCGAGGCCGTTACCTTGCGTCATGAAGGGAGAGCACCGGGGTGGCGTCGCGTGGCGTCTCCTACCCTCCGCGCGTCGGCATTATCCCCTCGAGGACACGTTGCACTCTAAGGAGCGCGCGAACTGCATCCGCGAGGGGTCTCGCGAGGTCTAGTGCGGTATCGCGGGGCGAGAGGGCGCCTCGGTGCGCGACTGAGAGTCGCGCGACTGGTCGCGTCCCTCGGCGTCCGACCGGCGGTCTGCGGGGCTGAGAGTCACGCTCCCCGCGTCGTCATAGGCAACGGTGCCCGCCGTATCCAAGAAAAATTGTCCGCGACCACTGGGAGGAAAAGAAAAGGAAATCCTTGGATCTCCCAGACCCGGGGGAACTCTAACGATGAGTCGTTGGGACAGGTCCGGAATCGGTCGATCGATGACTCCGAGACTCCCAGCGGCGGCCCTCACCCCTTGATAGGGTCTAGTCGCGACTTCGCCGGGGGAAAGAACCCTTTCCCGAAGTCGGTCGGTCCCCAGCTCACGGTCTCGGGGGCTCTCAGCCCCCAGCGACCGATGGGTCTGGGTGCGAGATGCCGGTCGCCCTGGAGGCCGAGACCGGGGGGAGGGCTGAGAGCGCGAAAGAGCGCGAAAGAGCGAGGGACACTCGGACTCCCAGCGCGCTTCGCGGCACGCGTACACACCGAGTCGGCTCGGGACTACCCGGTTGGAGGCCACCGTTATTCTTTATCGGCGCATGAGACATCTGTCGTAATAAGTGCGGACTAAAAAATAGTGCGTGCGCGGAGAGAGGGGGCCCCGGGAGGGGAGCGAGGGAAA